CCCGGCCGCTCCCGCCGCCGCCCGGCCCCGCGCGGGGCCCATGGCGCCGCCGCTCCCGCCGCCGCGCGCGCTTTCCCGGGAAAACGTGTCCCGCCCCACCCCCGCGCGACGGCCAATCAGAGCGGGGGGCCACGCCCACAGTCCATGACAGCCAATCGAAGAGAAGTGCGCGGAGCGGGCTCGTACCCGCCCTCCCCCGGAATGCAGGATGAGGGGCGGGGCCTCCTGGCGCGCTGGAGCCAATCAAAAGGGGCCCGCCCCTGCTCCCGCCGGTCCGAGCGGCCGCTCCGGAAGGACCCAAGTGAGCTGTTCCAGCTAAACGCCTGTTGACTTAATTCCAAATTTCGGTTGAAAACGGATTTTGAGAACGGTAAAAAGCTCCACCGGGGCCTGCAGAAGCCGGGACGGCCGCGAGGAAGGGCGGCGCTGGGCGCGGAGCGGGCAAGGCGTGCGGGGCCCGCGGCGGGCAGGCGGCGGGCAGGCGCGGCGGCGGAGGCCCCGTGCGGGCGCGGTCATGGCGGGGCCGGCGCGGGTGCCGGTGGTGGACGTGCAGAGCGACAACCTGGCGGAGCTGTGGCCGTCCATGGTGCTGGCGCTGCGCTCCGCCACCTTCGTGGCCGTGGACACGGTGAGCCGGGGTGGGGATGGCGGCGGCGGCGGGGAGGGGCGCGGCCGGCCCCGGGGAGCCACTGACGGTGTCTGTCGCCCCGCAGGAGCTGAGCGGCCTCGGCGCCCGAAAGTCGCTGCTGAGCCCGTGAGTGCCCGGTGGGGCGGGGGGGGTGCGTTCTCGGTACCGGCTGCGCGGTGCCCTCTCCCCGGGGTACGGGCAGGCCCGTTCACGGCCCGTTCTGCCGTGGCCAGGTGCATCGAGGAGCGCTACAAGGCCGTCTGCAGCGCCGCCAGGACGCGCTCTGTCCTGTCCCTCGGCGTCGCCTGCTTCAAGCAGCTCCCGGAGAAGGTGCGTGCTCAAACCGTGGTGCGGCCGTTTTGTATTGGTCGGTCCCGGGAGACGGGGAGGCGCTGGGAGATGGAATCCCCGTGGAATTGTCCCGGCAGCCCCCTCTGACAGGTGTCCCTGGGTTCTTTGCACGCTCTCTTGTGCAGTCCGAGAACACGTACCTGTGCCAGATCTACAACCTCACGCTGCTCTGCACCGAGGATTACGTGGTTGAGCCCCAGTCAGTGCAGTTCCTGGTGCAGCACGGCTTCGACTTCAACAAGCAGTATTCCCAGGGGATCCCTTACCACAAGGGCAACGACAAGGTACAAACCCACTCCCTTTCAGACACCTCAGCCTGCTGTGCTCCAGGTTTGTGGGAGTGCACTGGCTTCCCCTGCTCCTGCGTGAAGGTGGGCACGCCCTGTGGTCCTGTGCAGCATTATCCCTTTCACCTCCCTGCTGCTTTAAACCCGCTCGTTGCAGTTGCTTTTCCAAACGTTTGTGCCTCTGTAAGTCATAGCCCTGAGGGCTCTCCAGGGTGACAGCCAGCCAGGGCGCCGAGGCTCACTGCCTGATCCTTCCTCATGCAGGGCAACGAGAGCCAGAGCCTGAGCGTTCGGACGCTTTTCCTGGAGCTCATCCGGGCGAAGAAGCCGCTCATCCTCCATAACGGCCTCATCGACCTGGTGTTCCTGTACCAGTGCTTCTACGCTCACCTCCCCGAGAGCCTCGGCACCTTCACCGCCGACCTCTCCGAGATGTTCCCAGCGGGAATATACGACACCAAGTACGCCTCGGAGTTCGAGACCCGCTTTGTAGCCTCCTACTTGGAGTACGCCTACAAGAAGTGGTGAGCAGCACGCTGGAACTCAGAGCCTACAGGAGGACAGGCAAAGGGAGGGTCACTGTGTGTTTTTCCAGGCAAGGGGGCTGTGTCCTTTCACTGTCCCACTGACTGAAGGTGCTTTTCAGGTGACTCTGCCCTGTGCTTTCTGTGGGTTTGTTTTTTAACAGGCCTTACCTGTTTGGTGGGCAGCAGCTGAAAGAGAACTTCAGAACTGGTGCCAGTGGAAGACTGACCACAATGGCCTGATCTGAGATCTAATTGGGTCACTGCCTGGCTCTGGTCCAGCAGTGCCACAGGGCAGGAAATCACACAGAAAAGAAACCAGGGCTGACCTGCAGGTCTGCTAATTATAATTCTGTTTTGTGAGGGACACTGCAGTTAAAGGGTGGGTGTTCCCTGCACTCCTTGACACTGACCAGCTCTGTCACATGCCCTACACACGTGATGCCCATGGCTCACTCTGACTCCCATCACTTCCTTCCAAGCAAGGGTTGTGCTCTTGTTCAAGACACAAGTCTGTGCTTTGCAGTCTGGCCCCACATTCTGCAGGCCCCACACAATCTAAACAAGCCCCTGGCAGTGACAAAGCCCCTGGGATCTCCATAAAGCTCAAGTCATGCTCTGTTTTGAGGAGAAATGGTATTTTTTGTGACTGTTTTATCTCAGGAAATGCCACTTTGACAGGTCTGAAAACATTCAAGATGGCCGTTCTCAAAACATGAGAGTGCTTTGTTTTGACAAGATAAAAATAACTTTCTAAGCTGATGTCTTAAATGTTTTAACCCAAGTTCTCATTAGGTAGAGCCTTCCAAAGGTTTTGGCCTTTTAACCAGCTCTTGGGACAAAACAGAGATCAGATTTTTTTTCATGAAATGAAAACCCTTCCTTGTTGCCTGCATTGCCCAGGTTCAACCTGGCTGGATGGTGACTGCTGGATGGTCTGCACAGGACCTCATTTTGGAGTGTCTTTTCCTTGTCCATTACCATTATGAAGACAAACATATCTTAATGCCCTTTACAGTTAAAAGAAAAAACTGTGCACCCCTTCTCCTGTAACTTCACCAGAGATGCTGCTTTCCCTTCGTCTGTGTCAGCATAAGAAAAAAACCCTTTGAATCAGCACGGAAACAACTACTTACTAAAGCTGCTCTCCTGGGATTGAATTCCTTTCCAGCATCTGGGGCTGGAGCTCAAGAGCAGGAAACTCATGGAGTTGAGAGCTGATGGAGAGCAGTGTGCTCTGTGCCCTGGTCCCACCCCACAGTAACTGTGTGCTCCTCTTGTTCCAGCAAGCGAGAGAACTGCAAGCTGAGGGACTCGAGCGGGCAGCACCTCACGGTGGAGTTCTGCAATTACCCTGCCAACGTGTCCCGCTACATCGACTACCGCTACTGCTCTCTGGAAGAAGACAGCCACAGTGCTGCAGGGGGGAATAAGGAGCCTGTCTGTGAGAAATTCTCGGTAAGGAACGCAAATCCCCGCTCCCTTCCTGACTCCGTGGAAAGGGCCACACGTGGCTCAAGCCAGAAGTTGCAGGAAAGCACCTGGCAACTCCCCCTCACCTGCTTCATAGTACAGGGAACATTTTCAAGCTTCAGGTGGCTTCATGGCAGACAGGGCAGTAATGTGCTCTGCTTTGAGGCTGGGAATCTTACAGGCTTCAGTAGGAGGATTCCAACAGAGAGTCTGTGGCCCTTAACAGTGGGACAGTATGAGTTACACTATCCCCAGTATGAGTTACAGTATCCTCCCCAGCTGTCTTGGGGAGACCTCAAGTTCTGTGTTAGTTTGCCTTGTCCTACAAGAGAGAAGTACCACCTTTACCCTTCCCTTTATTTTCATTAGGTATAAAAAATTATTACCTATCTGCAGCTTCTGGCACTGTAGCACAGGGTGGTCCACAAGAGCTTGTCCTAGTGCAGCTACAGCAGCAAAGAGCCCATCTGGTCAGATCATAACTGGCTTCAGGTGCTTCCTGGAGAAAAGGAGCTCTTCCACCTGTTGTACATTCTGTCACAGAACACAAGTTGGGGAAATCTCTGGAAGTTTCTCATCCAGCCATGATCTCTGTTGCTCAGAGCCTTGTTTGGTAAATTTTTAAATTGTGTAAGGACAGAGATTAAAAAACAACTCCAGGTCCCTGTTCTAGTGCTTGACCACTACATGAAAAATGTTTTCCTGCATTTCTAGTCATAATTTCCCCTGACTGTTACCCGGTTCCCTCTCCCTGTGCTCTGACAAGAGTTTAGCTCCATTTTGCCCATAACCTCTGCAGTAGGTACTTGCAGACACCAGCTAGATAGTCCCCTCCCCTTAGCCTTGTCTTTTCCAGGTAGTACAAACCCACCTTCCTTAGCCTCTGCTGATACGCTGTGTGCTGCACCCAGTACAGTGTGTCAGCACCTTTCCCGTGTGCTGGGGGGCTGTAACTGGACACTCTTCCTGCTCCAGCCTCACAAGCCCTCAGTGGAAGGGAATAATTAGCTCCACTCCACATTATGGTGATTGCTGCTCTAACCAGTAAGATGGAGGCTGCAGACCCCTCTCTCTTTCTCCCTAGGCCTATGGGTGGTGTCCAAAAGGGGTGAAGTGTCCAGAGTCTCATAACATCGACCTCATCATTGACGAGGACGACAAGCTTTGGGAGAAGAGAAAGAAACGGAAGCACAGATGGAAACATCGGAAGAACATGAAAGTGCTCGTAGCAGCATTCCAACAGGAAAGCACAGGGGACAACATGGAGCAAGCTCAGAACGGGGAGGAGGGACCGCCACGGAAGCAGAGCTGCTACGAGCCTGCAGCTGCTACAGAGCTGGCAGAGATTGCACCCAACGGGGAGAGCAGGCCACTGGAGATCTCCGTGGACAC